TAGGACCCATTGGGTCTGCATTTTTTGTCCCCAGATATTTTCTTCTCCTCTCCAAGAATCATGGGAGGAGCTCAGAGGGCAGAGGGTGGCAAGGATGCCCAGACCCTGAGAGGTCTTCAATATGTCTTGCTAATTGTAGCATTGGATAAGTGTGTCTGGGGCTCTTGAGGTACAAAAGACAGGATTTTCTCATTTTCTATGTGTGGCCCTAGGCATGTTGTTTCTTCCCTGTTGGCCTCAAGTTTTTGTTTTCATTTTTTTTTCATGAAAAATGAAGCCAAGGCCCTTTCTTCTATACCTGCAGTGTGCTGACAATTTGTCATCAAATATTAGCTATCAAAAAGGGGAAGGGAAATTCTGATTTGGCTTTTGTTTTGGTTGGGTTTGATTTGGTGTTTTTAAAGACAGGTTCTCTCTATGCATCTCTGGCTGTCACTATGCAGACCAGGCTGACCTCAAATTCAGAGAGAATCACCTGTCTCTGCCTTCCCAGTACTGGGATTAAAGTTGCGCGCCAACACAGCTGGCAGGGTTCTGGTTTGTAATGTTTGAAAACTTGCATGGGCAGCTATGTAGCCATGGCCAATTTGTCCTTGTTTCACTGAATGTAAAATTGGAAGTGATGGATTCGGTTTGTTCCCCAAAGCCCTGGCTCCAGCATTCCATGCTCACAGTCCTTGGGGACAGAGGGAGGAAGAGGTGAAGTGATCATAAAAACAAGCAATGTGAACTTCTATGTGCTCCAAAGATGTGGGTCTAGAATGGTCATGGTCTTACAGCAGAAGGGAACCTGGGTCACATCTTACTCCCTAGTCTCCAGCCCATGAAGGAGACATGGTGGGTAGAAGTTGGTTCTAAGTGGTGGGTTATAAGTGCTCTGGACCAGCTCCAGGATTCTGGATTTGAGGGTGGGGTGGGGGGAGAAAGGAAAGTCGAGAGATCAGTTTGCTGATATTGGTACACATCCCATTGCTTTCTCTGAAGCCGGAAGAGATAGGATCAAGGTTTGACAGCAATGAAAAAGTCCTTCCAAGTTCATAGGCCAGTGTCAGGACACTGGGGCCACCAGAGGTGCCTCCTGAGGGACCCAAAACAGTAGGGACGCCCTATCCATTCCATTCTAGGCCATTGAAGTTTCTGTAGTCACTGGCTCTACTGCAGGAGAATGGACAAAATGGCCTCAGAGGCCAGAGCCAAGAGGAAGTACAGTCTCTGTCAGTGAAGGAAGATGATGTCAGGGAGATGATGGTGGGGAACAGGAAAGGGCAAGAGGAGGGAGCTCCCTCCCCCACACTGGAGCTCATGCCTTAAATTAACTCTGTCCCACTGCTAATTATTAATAATAGCTATCATTTATTGAGTATGTACTGTGTAGTAAGCTATTTACAAGCAATATTTCATCCAATCCTCCAAAGAGGTATGTATTATTAGCTCTATTTTACAGTGGAGGAAACTGAGGCCCAGGGAAGGAAGTTAAGCAACGTGTCCAACCAAATTCTCATCCTGTTTAGGACTCAGACCCAGACCTGACTCCAAGTCCCAAGCTTTAAGAACTCTACCCACTGCTCAGGGAAGGGCTGGGGCTTGGATCCTCTCTCTCCCCGCTCTCTGTGCTGAGAGGATCCTTACCAAACACCAACTAGGGGCCCTTTGTGCAGCCGTTGAAGCACATAACCCCTTTCGGATGAAGTTGATTAAGGACTCACTTCCCCAGGCCGTGTGGCTTTAGAAGAGTCAGTTAATTTCCTTAAGGGACTCCTAGAACAGGGCTTCAGCTCTGGGGACCAAGGATGCCCTTGGTCACTGAGTTGGAAGTCAGTACATGTGGAACCCACCCAGAAGAAAGCCTGGGTGAGGACCACTCTGGGACATCTGCATCCTCGATGCAAATTAAGGGGCAGGCCTCTGAACTCTACAGAGACGAGCCCAAATCCCAGAAATGGGGTAGTGGTTTGCAGAGCCAGAGTGTGAAAGTGTTAGCTAGGACCGGAGGCCTCTGACATGGGGGATCTGTTCCAGAGTTTGTACAGCTAGTCTGATTGGGGAGCTTCTAAGCAAGACAGATCCTCAGGAGGGGAAGGCCCAGTCAGGCTCAGGCGCCCCCACCCCTGGGTTCAAGTCTGTAAAGCAACAGGACTTGTATCTGAGTCTTCTGAGGTCATAATAAATGAAGACCAAGCAGACAGGGAAGGCCAGCTAGGGCAGTTGCCACCAGGGACAATGTCATCAGCACCTCTCCCTGGACTACCAGGCCTGAAGCAGCAAGGCCATCAAGGAAACTATAGAACCTGGGGTTAGAGGCCCTTGGGTCCAGCTACATTTGGCCAATTGAGGCCAGAGGTATGACATGTGTCCCTGAACATTTTCTGGGTATCAGTACCTTATGCTCACATGGCACTTAACTTCAAGAGGCCCCAGTGAGATAAGTCCACACACCCCACTTCTCAGATGAAGAAAGTGAAATACAGACTTATGCAGTGTGTCCAAAATCACATAGCCAGAACATGACAAGGCTTGGAACTGAAAGTCAGATCTACCTCAAGCTTAACCGCTAGTACTCTCCCCTCCCCAGACCGCAGAGCCTAAGATCTGAAGGGAGAAGCCCCCATCTCACACCTGGAGTGGGCGGGCCTTATACCTGGAAGGCACCAAGTTCACAAGACACCATGTCCTCTGGGGAAGGCAGCTCTGAGCCAGGGTGAGGCATGGCAGGCAGGCCCAAGCGGTCCAGGGAGCATGGGCCAGGGTGGGCAGTCATGCAAAGCTGGAGATGGGGTGTCCTCACCCCTGCCTGCTCCCTTAAAGTGTCCAGTTACAGCCAGCTCCACGCTTCCTGGTCACGCCACATTTAGCATCTTTGTGAGTGAGTCTGGGCAGGGATATAGAGAAGGGGTGGGCAGGGGGGGGGGACTCTTTTAGGAGTGTGGGAGAACCTCTCCACCCTCAAATTCCCTCCCAGTCTAATTCTATGTGGGACTCCGGACAGGTCCCTTTCCTCTTTGTCACCATTAGCCTCTCTGGAGATGGCTAATTCATCAAAGATATGTCAACCACTGACTGGGCCAGGCTCAGGCCAGTGAGGCCCGCCCCCCCTCACAGATTTCCCAGAACTGCACAGCTACTTTGCTGTGACTTGGGGGGGTCTTGGGTAGATGGAATAAGTGCAAAACTTCTGCCTTTTGTGCTGCTTGACTCCTGGAACATCCCACCCAGCATTGACGCCCATCAAGTGCAAAAGTGGGGAGAGAAGCTAACCAAAGCCTAGCTCAGGTTCTGATTCTGTCAAGGATTGGCTGTGAGACTGGGAAAGTCACAAAATCCCTCTGGGCCTCAGTTCTCTCATCTGAAAGATGGGATTAATAATGTGCCATCCTTGCACAGTTGTCCTAGAAAAGCAATGAGCTTGGGCATAATGGCTCATGCTTCAAATGTCAACCCTTGGGAGGTGAGGTCAGAAGATGGCCGATAGTTCAGGGTTAGCCTGGCCTACAGAGTGAGTTGGGGGCCAGCATGAACTATATGGTGAGACTCTGTATTAATAAACAGCAGGGGTACCTGGTGGTGGTCCAGCACTCAGGAGGAAAGAGGCAGGTGAATCTCTGTGAGTTTGAGGCCAGCCTGGTCTACAGAGTGAGTTTCTGGACAACCAGGACTACGCAGAGAAACCCTGTCTTGAAACAGGGGCTACCTATCATGCCGTTTGCCCTAGGTTGGAATGCAGAACTGGGCACAAAGGTGCATGTCTATAATCCCAGCGCTGGGCCCTTTGTAGAGATGGAGGAAGGCAAAGAGTCAAGCTGAGAATGGAGCAGCAGTGATAACACTATTAATAACAAGAACCGTCGTGGGTCAAGCCCTGGGCTCTGCTTGCACTATGCTCCATGCTCTCTATGCATGATCTCATTGCACTCTCAGCCCTGAGTGAGGTTCTGTCACTCACCTTGCTTGGGGATGCTGCTATGGAAATGCAAAGAGCTTTGCTGACACAGCCTAAGATGAAAAGCCTCCCCTGGCGCTGACTCCCAAGGCCTCCAAGCCACTCTATGGTTCTGGGATCAGGGTTCTCAAACAGTTCCGAAGGGGTCAGCCCTCAGATCTAATCCAAGCCTCAGCTTTTCTTGGGCAAGATGAAGGGTTCAGGAAAGAGGCAATGATGGGGGATAAGGAGCAGCTGGGGACAGCACTGGGTTCCATCCCACACAGAACAGGACGGGAGGGGAGAAGAATGGGGATAAGGAAAAGAAAAAGAAAAGGGCAGAGTTTGGCAGAAGTCACAGATAAAACTGTTGGAAGGATGGAGGTAAAAACACTGACCAGAAATCCCATGGGCCCTACAAGACCAGCCTCTGTATCACCAGAATCACTGTCATATGAAGCCTAGGCATGTCACTCCCCTAATGCCCCCTTCTCTCAGGGCCTACTGATAAGATCACCTGTCATAGACGCCGGAGACCTAGCAGCCAGGACTCCCTGGGAGTCCCTCAAGCCATCAAAGCTTGAGAATAGACAGGACCTCCTCTGAGTATCCAGTCTGCTTCATTTCTCTTTCATGATCCTCCTGCCTCATCCTCTTCAGCATTTGCCTACCAACATGTACCAATGTACCACCATGGATATCTATCTATCATCTGTCTATCAGTCTATCATCTATCTATCCATCTATCTATCTAACCATCTATTATGTCTATCATATCTATCTATATTATTTCTACCCTATTTGTCTATTGTATCTATCTATCCTATCTATCTATCAATCCATCTATCTATTATATCTATCATAACTATATCATTTCTATCCTATTTGTCTATCTATCTATCTATCTATCTATCTATGTCGATATCTTTCCTTCTCTCCCTGTCTTCCTAATCAGATGGCTGCAAACAGGGTCCCACCCTAGGGAAGGGGCGGGAATGGGGGTGGTGGGCCTGGGGTTGACCACCCCTAGAAGTTGGTCCTCATTCTCATTGTAGCCGGCTTTCTTCGAGGCCAGGACTGGGTGATGGTGTCGATACTCCCTCCGAAGTCTGACGTCACACTGCCAGGTGCCACCCGACTAGAGGGCGAACCCCAAGGGGACCTCATGCAGGCTCCGGGCCTCCCAGGCTCCCCTGCCCCACAGAGCGTAAGTACCTGGTGCCTAGGTCTGGCATTAGGACAAGCCTGGTAGCTGAGCAGAGAGTAGACAGTCACTGCCCAACACAAGGACCTCGAGGGTCTATTTTGTCCCTTACACCAAGAAATATGATGGATCTAGACCCAGAAGGGCTCTGAGCCCACATGGGTCTCTGTTCATCCCTTGGTTTGGTGTTTCCTAGCTCAAGGTATGGAGTCCCATCAGCCTTGAAGTGCCCCAGGTTTAGGAGAAGTATGCTTGTGTCAGGTTGGGATCCCAAGAGCAGCTTATGTCTTTCCCATCATTTCAGGATTCCCATGGGCTTAGTCACAGACTCTATTATCTCAACACAGAGTAGGGTCCTGGCAGGTCCCCGGGTCCAACCTCCATTTACGGGTTCTCTCTACTCTGTCTACCTAGAAGCATGTCAACTTCAGCTGCTCATCATTTGTGCCTGATGGCCCCCCAGAGAGAGCACCCTCACTGCCCCCCCACAGCCCCAGCATTGCATCTCCAGGCCCGGAGCAAATCCAAGGCCACTGCACAGCTGGACCTGGCCCAGGCTCCTTCTGCCCCTCTCCCTCAGACAAGTATCCTGGCTTTGGCTTTGAGGAGGGCACAGCAGGCAGCCCAGGGCGCTTCCTCAAGAGCAACCACATGCCTTTCCACCCCTACAAGAGGCACTTCCATGAGGACATTTTCCCTGAGGCCCAGACGGCCATGGCCCTCGATGGACACTCCTTTAAGACTCCGGGGGCACTGGAAGCCTTCGAGGAGATTCCAGTGGATGTGGGGGATGCCGAGGTCTTCCTGCCTGGCTTCCCGGCAGAGGCTTGGTGCAATGGACTCCCTTACCCCAGCCAGGAACACAGCCAAGTTCTGGTGAGTACCGGTGGCCAAGTGCTTCCCACTTATCTCTCTTGGCCATCTAGAAAGAATCCTCAAAGCCGGGCATGGTGGCACATGCCTGTAATCCTAGTACTCAGGAGGCTGAGGCAGGAGGATTGCCTGAGACAGAGGCCTTCCTATGCCTTTATATGGGGACCCCATCTCAAAATTGGAGCTTCAATGCAGCAGCAAGTACAGAGGGTAGGAGCCCCCTGGCTCCATGCTGGTCCCCTGACTAGGGGGAAGCTAGATTGGCAGGCATAGAGGGGCCCAAGTGGAGGAAGCACATCAGGACAGAAGCTGGCAGCTTCCCAGAGGGTGCTGAGTCAAGATTCCAGAAGGTGACTTCTGTTTGTCTAAGTGTTAAGAATGCCCAGCCAGACCAACCCTCACCTATGCAAATGTGAGGAGGGAAAAAAAAAAAAAAAAAAAAAAAACCACATTCCAGAGAGAAAGGTTCTGGCCAGAGCGTCAGATCAAAACTCCACCAAACCAGTGTGGACTCAGGAACCCTTCCAGACCCCTTATTTGTTTGTTTGTTTAGTGTGTGTGTGTGTGTGTGTGTGTGTGTGAGAGAGAGAGAGAGAGAGAGAGAGAGAGAGAGAGAGAGAGAGAGAGAGAGAGAGAGAGAGAGAGAGAGAGAGAGAGAGAGAGAGAGAGAGAGAGAATAGCTGTGTCACCTAAGTCTGGCCATGAACTAAAGAGTCCCCTAACTCAGTATCACTGGTACTGGAATTACAGGTGGGTTCCTGGACCTATTCTTTGGCCAGAGCAGGCCTCTGTGTACTAGTAGAAGTGCCTTGGAAACACCTTAGAAGGTTGGCATGCACTTCCGCAGCCAGATCTGCAAGTGGCTTAATTTCACTGAGCCTCGTGGGAAAAGAAATGTTAAGGGCACCCCGTCTCATAGGATCGTGGCTTGCGAAAGCGAAAGGGGGCTTGCCTCCTGCTCCCTACCTCTGACCTCGGGGGCTACCACTGAGTGAGGTCAGCTTGATGGGTTGTCTCCTCCAGGGGTCCACCAACCTTCTTCACCTCCTGCTTCCAAATGGGCCCATTCTAGTCCTTAGCCACTCCCAACAGGAAGGAAGATAGAGAAAGAGATGAACACCCATCAGGTGTGGCCAAGACAGGCTCTTACTCTGTTTCTGGAACGGTGACAGCCTTTTCTCAAGCCTTCAGAATGTGGCAGCAGCCACAGCAAGGTATTCTGCAAAACAGTGATTATCCCCTAGTGTCCATTCAGTGAAGCTCCTGGTCATTCGGCCTTGTGCTTTCTTTCCAGGGCTCCATTTAATCTTCCCAACGATGCTCTAGAGAGTGTGTTACAAGTTGTACCTAGGGGCCCACCTCTGCCTGGTCCGTTCTCTGAATGACTGATGCCACATAGTTTTCCTCTCCGGGATCAGCCCCACCATCTATCAAATGAAGGGGTTGGAGACGATGCTTGTGGCCCTTCTAGGCCCAAGATCCCGTGATTACAGCAATCTCTGCATCAGCAGCCCTGGGGCACACCCAGAAAGTGGTCACAGCTAGCTTTTGCCCCTCTGGGCCCAAATGCTGGCTTCCTTCCCATAGGCCCCTGGAATCTTGGTAAGAGCAGTCTGATCCTGGCTTATCTGTCTTCCAGGACCTAGCTGCGCCCTTGCTGTCTCTACTCAGGGTCTTATGGCCCTGAGGACTCCACACAGGCCTTTCAGAGATCTCTGGTCCCACTCGAGTCTACATGACCACTAACAGTCTCCTCCATTTCTCTGGTGACCTAGCCTACGCCTGTCACCCGCAGTGAGGTGGGATGTGGGGAACACTTTCCATTTCAGCCTAGCCCCACCACTGACTTGCTGATTTCCCTCAGGAAAACCCCTATCCATCTCTGTTCTCTGATCCTTCCCCAAGAGTCAGCTTTCAGAAAGTCAGAGAAAGGATTCCTTTAGTGTGAGGTTCAAGACAAAAGAAAGAAGGAGGAAGGAAAACAAACAAACAAACAAAACTTTCTTTTCCAGCAGAGGTCAGAAGTAAAGGTCAAGCCCCCAGCACTGGACAGCGGTCCCAGCGGTCCCGGCATGTACTGCTACCAGCCTCCTTTGCAGCATATGTACTGCTCTTCTCAGCCCGCCTTCCACCAGGTAGGCGTGGGGCAAGTGGGTAGACTTCCTAGAGATCTCAGGAGGGTGTGTGGGCGTTGCTGTGTGTGTGTGCTGTGGGTGGGGTGTTGCTATGTGTGTGTTGCTGTATGCGTGTGTGTTGCTGTTGTGTGTGTTGCTATGTGTGTGGGTGTTGCTGGGGGGGTGTTGTTGGGGTGTTGTGGGGAGGTGTTGTGGGGGTGTTGTGGGGAGTGTTACTGTGTGGGGGGGTGTTGCTGTGTAGGTGTTGCTGTGTGGGTGGGTGTTGCTCTGTGTGTGGATGCTGCTGTGTGGGTGGGTGTGTGTGGGGGTGGGTGTTGCTCTGTGTGTGGATGCTGCTGTGTGGGTGGGTGTTGCTCTGTGTGTGGATGTTGCTGTGTGTGGGCATTGCTGTGTGTGTTGCTGTATGTATGGGTGTTGTTGTGAGGGTGTTGCTGTGTGTATTGCTGTGTGTGTGTGTGTGTTGCTGTGTGTGTGGATGTTGTTGTGTGTATTGCTGTGTGTGCGTTGCTGTGGGTGGGGTGTTGCTGTTGTGTGTGTTGCTATGTGTGTGGGTGTTGCTGTGGGGGGTGTTGTGGGGGGTGTTACTGTGTGTGTGGGTATTGCTCTGTGTGTGGATGTTGCTGTGTGTGGACATTGCTGTGTGTGTTGCTGTATGTATGGGTGTTGTGGGGGTGTTGCTGTGTGTGTGGGTATTGTGGAGGGTGTTATTGTGTGGGTGAGTGTTGCTGCTGTATATGTGGGTGTTGCTGTGTATGTGGATTTTTGTTGCTGTCGGGGTGTTGCTATATGTGTGGGTGTTGCTGTGTGTATTGCTGTGTGTGTGTGTGTGTGTGTGTGTGTGTGTGTGTGTGTGTGGCTGTGTGTGTAGGTGTTGCTGTGTGTGTGGATGTTGCTGTGTATATTGCTGTGTGTGTGTTGCTGTGGGGGGTATTGCTGTTGAGTGTGGATGTTGTTGTGTGTGTGTGTGTGTGTGTGTGTGTGTTGCTGTGTGTGATGTGTATGTATATGTATGTGTGTTCATGTGGGTGGGTGGGCAGGTGAAGATATCAGGGTCCTGAGCTCAGACAGGGCTACCCCAGTGGAAAGAGAAACAATTGCCCTTACCTAAGGGTTCTCAGGATTCTCTGACCGCCTGCTGGAGGCTGGGGAGTCTCAAACAGAAAGTGCAGCCAAGACTGAAGCAATCATGATGTGAACCATGGGGGAAGTGGGGGACCATCCCAGACAGACAGGAGCAAAGAGGAAAGGGGTGTGTGGTGTGACACACAGGCTGGGCAAGGAAGGGAACAAAGGACTCCCATCTAGGTCACACCTTGCTGTGTGACCTTGTCCTTAAATTTCCCTTTGTCCTAGAATGGGTGGGCAGAAGTGTGGGGCTGGGGTCCTTCCTATCCACATTTACCATCCTTGCCCTTTGCCATCCTACTGCCCAGTTTAGCCTCTCCAGAATGAATGAGATGCTAAATAATTGCCCCACACTGGCAAGGGATGGAGGATTTTTGAAAAGACAGAAAAGAGCCCCAGAGCAGCCAGGCAGCTCCCTTGGAGTCACCGGGCAAGACAGAGCAAGTGGCTGCCCAGCGCCCAGCTCCATCCACCTGCAGCCTGGCACTCAGACAGGCCTTGCCTGTGGAGCAGGTTCTACTCCAGCTCTGGCATTGGCCCTGATCCTAGCCAAGCCAGGAGGCAGGCTGAGAAGGTGGGGTGGGGGTCAGGCTACCGACTGTGGGTACAGAAAGTGACAGAGAGGGACAAAGAAACACATGATATGCGGGGCATCCTCCCTTCTAGGAAGGCCTAACTGCAGAAGCCTATGCTTTTCTGAGGATCCTGATCTGACTCAGGGTACAGAGGATGTCCCTGAGGCAGTCTGCCACAGCAGGGGTCAAGCCACCACAGGATGAGGGTGACAGGTAGACCCTAAGTGGCCTTGTCATGCCTAGCTCTGCTTTGAAACCCTCTGTAGTCTTCAACGTCCTTGAACAAGATGGCCGCACCCAGGGCTTTATGGAGCCCAGAGAGAGGGTGACTCAGGCACTAAGTGTCTCTTGGTGACCTGGAAAGAACACTTCAGCCTGAAGCAGCTGGGGGAGTTAGAGTCTCCAACCCCCAGCCCCCATAAAACACCATTCCCAGCACCGCAGCCACTCCCTTCGCCGTAAAACTACCTCCTACCCCCACCTGCCCACCATCATGACCGGCTCTTTCAAAGAGCCACTGAAACTCGTAAAGGTGGCCATGCCTAGAACACACCCAGGCTGGACATCCCGCTTCCGGCCCAGTGCTCCAAAAAAGACACAGGAGGCCTGGAGTACCTACCTGGAAAATGCAGGACTGTGAGCTGATCCCCATCCCATCCCCATGGCAACCAGGGTACCTCAAGGTCTGAGAGGAAAGAGTTGGAAAAAGATAGCTTTGAGGCCTTTTGAGATTCTAAGTTCTAGAGTGTGGGTCTCTTCCCAAGCCCAAAATGTCCAACCCACCACCCCTTCCTCAGTCATGCCATTGGAGTTCATGACCAAGGACCATGACCTTGGTTACCTCTCTGGATATGTGTGAATGGAGGAGTGGAGCCCCACTTGGGAAGGCTTGGTACCATGGTAATTACTCTGTCCCCTTTGACCTCCACAGTACTCCCCAGGCGGAGGCAGCTATGCTGTGCCTTACCTGGGCTCCGCTCACTACCCCTATCAGAGGATCACACCCCAGGCCAGTGCGGACGGGCACCAGCCACTCTTCCCCAAGCCCATCTACTCCTACAGGTACATGTCCTAGCACATCTGGGGCAGAACTAGGAGCACTGAGGGTCCTTGGGCTTCTCAAGATGTCAGGGTCATTGAAGGGGACAGAAATCATACCTAGTAACTTCCAAGGGTGCTGGAGAAACGATCCCTGCAGGTAGGTAAGTGGTAGATAGATACACAACTTTGACCTTTTGTCTGACCCTGTGGGGTTGTAACTGGTTAGACTCAGCAGATGCTGGTGATTTGGGTGGGTGGGCCTGTGAGAGCCTATCTCGGGGCCCAGCACCTAGTGCTAGAGGTTAGGTGGGAGATTAAGGGTCCTTACTGCCTTCCCGTTCTTCTACCATGTAAAAAACAGTAAGCAAACAGCTGTGCTTCTTACTAACTGTGAAACTTTTAGTCCCCTGGAAGGGAAAGGGGGAGGCGATTCAGGGGACTGGAAGCTTTATGTAAGAGAGTGTGGGGAGGACAATACTTGGTGCACAGAAGGAAACCTTGCCCCCTCTCTACTGTCCAACACATGCGTGATGAGCCGAGGACCGTGTGGTCAGCACCATATCCATGTAATGATGTGTGTGAAACGTTCATTCCCTTAGCTCTGAGGAAGCTGACTACTGAATTTTTTTTTTTCATTTCAAAACCGAGGAAACCGTACTTGGAAAGTTTCAGACAAGCTCACACATCTAATGGCTATGTCAGGTTTTCCAGATTCCACAAAATGCTCCTATAGTTCAGTCTCAGCCTCACTGAGCCTGTTGGCTGAGGGAGAGCTGAAGGAGGTGGGGGTCAGAGGATGGGACTCTCAAGAGATGTCTTTTACAGCATCCTCATCTTCATGGCCCTTAAGAACAGTAAGACCGGAAGCCTCCCAGTCAGTGAGATCTACAATTTCATGACAGAGCACTTCCCTTATTTCAAGGTGAGTCTAAAAAAAAAAAA